CAAGGAAAGAAGATCACAAGATTACGGTTTCAAAATTAGGGAAAAGAGAGTTTCGATTAGGGTTTTATGGAAGAAATAGAGAGAGTTTTGGTTAAGGTTTTAGTAGAAAAGCGATTATCAAATTTTCAGATTTTTGAAAGAGACAATTTTGGCTAAGATTTCGAGAGACGGAGATAGAGAGAACAAGATTTTCTGGGGGTACTGAGATAGGCACATTACGATCTAGAACTGATTTTAGATTTAAGAAAGAAACTAGGGTTTTATCCAAATCTTATAAGAGGATGTTGGGATTTGTGGCTATTTAAAGACCATAAGCTCTTGGTTGTATTATGCACCCCGGAGATTTTCAATACTCATGTTTTTCATTATTCCTGCAGTAGTGGACATAATGGGTTACATGTGATTTAGAACTGTATATGACACGCCATGCCTGGACAGGCTTAATCAGCAGGCTCTCTGTGACATAGAGCCTGGTGACTTAATGCACTCCAGGACTCTAGTCTTGGTTTTGCAATCTAGGGCCTTGGCTTAGAGAGTCGGATCTGCCCCACTGGGCCAGTTTATAAAGCTGTTATTCCTAAGATGTATCTTATGGAGTGGGTTCCATGGACACCCAATTGAATTAGGTTGAGCATTGGTGGTTTATCAGCCAGGTGATGCAAAGGCCCTTGTGTGAAGAATGAGGCTTGTAAAAACAGGGGCCTTAACCTCAACATTATCATTATTCACAGTATGCAAGCATGAAGACCTTATTGATCTGGTACTGGTCAAAGTTCTGACTGCTCCAATCTTACTTGTTTTGCCTCTGTTTTGCTGTTTTGACTTCAATCCGTGTCCGGTTGCGTAATCCACTAAATGAACAACTTGCCTTGTTTTGATTGATGGTTCACCGCCCAGGCAAACAAACCAACGAATTCCAGGGGCAGCCTGCGGTCGAGGGAGAAAGCCCTCTCCTGCTTATTCAATAGGACGAGTGGTTGTCCCTCCCCCAAAGGATGACCCTTCCCCTTAAAGAGCATAGTTGGTTTGAACTTGCCACCTAGCTCCACCTCCGCCCACAATTGTAAGCCATCCAAGATGTAGAATAGATTGTCCTTCTCTGACATATCCCTTCGTGTGCATGTGCTAGACAAAGGTCCGCCACTACCTTTAATGATACATGAGATTAGTGGGTAAAAGTCGTCGTCGGCTGCACAAGACTTGTCCTTGAAGGATACACTTACAATCCTACATAAATTTATACCTATTTGTTCCTTAGCCACCTTTGATGGGCCAGTCATTAACCTCTTGCATGAGACTTGTAGGCACGGCCGATCACCTAGTTTGAGGTTAGGCAGTGTCTATGAGTGTTATCTTAGAGTGCCTAGTATAGGAACATTTTCTCTCATGGTATGCTCAATCTTCCATTAAAATCCTTCCAAGTTTTTCTTTAGGAGTTTTCAAAGGAAATAAAACAATTTTATTTTCTCAATTTAGTCAATTGTATTATATTAAGTGATTTTTGTTTTAAAATAAAGGCTATTCTTAGAATAATAATTTGTTCTGAAACAATGACTATTTTGGAATCAATACATTGTTTCTTTAGAAGGGAAATTAGGGTGATTAGAAAAACATGTAGGATAACTAGAGAGACACGGTTTTGTTGAGCTTTGTAGGCTACACATCTTTCTTAGGAGAACACCTGGACCTCACTTGTCTTGGGGTGCCATGCAACATGCTATCCATGAGGAGAAAGAATAAAAATAAAAGAGTTAAAGACTCCTGCAGCATGAATAGTATCCTAATATGACTCCTTAGATATGTAACTCTAAAATGGTCATAGGCGACTAAAAAGATCAATTTTTATTGGAAAATATTTTTTAAAAGTCCAAGTTGGATTATATTTGCAATTCTATGAGGTTTCGAATTCAATCGGAATTTAATTATCATTAGAATTTAATGAGAATTGAAAGATAGAACAAACAAACACAGGCCCACGCCCATGGCACCCAAGCTTCCCCATTACATAACTTTTAATTCATCTCCCACCCCTTTGCAACTTCCATCTTAACTTAGGCTACGCATTTGCTCTCTATTCCCTCACTCTCTCCTACTTGTGAGGGTGTAGAGTGTTACACCCATGTACTTCCCAATCCCTCAGTTAGCCATGCTCTTTCCAAACTTAGTCTACTCACCCGAAGAATATTGACATAATAAACTTCGGTATGAGGGGGGTAGTAAGTAATTACAGGTACTCAAACCCCTACCTAACACCCCCACCTCTTTACTACAACGACCACCACCTTATTAGACCACCCCAAACCACCTGTCCTGCAACCCCCACCGCTCATGCCTCCACCCAACTCCAAATCCTCCTACTGGATAGCCCTCCTAACCAAAAACCTAAACCCTCAAGTACCCATAACTAGCTCACTAAAGAACGCTACCTGAAAACTCGATGCCTGCTGACAAAATGTGAAAAATAAAATAAAGGACCACATCTGTCCTGAAAAAACTTAACACCTCATAGAAGGCCCTCATAGCCACTCCTTCTGTCCAATACATGACCTAGTTATGAAAAAATGGTTGACTGTCTTACTAGAGAAAAATATTCTATGTAGGGCTCTTGCCAAGGGAGGTTACCTTCTTTCCCCTCAGTGGAAACTATACAGAGAGCCATGTCCTACAATTACCTTCAAATAAGTGGAGTTACATGTCAAATACAAAAGCATCTAGCTCCCACAAAACCAAATAGTGGATTTCTGCTTATGGAATTCTGATGCATCTTTGGAACCAATATACCTTCAAACAAATAAGTGATTGATGGAGATGTTTCATCTCAGTGTGCTAGAAATCCTTTGGAGCCCTCCCCTTGAGCTTTGTCAGCCTACTCATCAAAACCAGGTCTCTGGCTGCAATCCCTAATTCCATTACTATAGTGGCACAGGGATTTAAGTATTCAATATCCATCAAATTGCAAGACGATGCTAGAAGAACTTATATAAACCCCACGAAAAAGGGACCATGGGGACTGGGGAACATGAGGTACGAACCATTGTTAACAAACAACACACGTACACAAGTAGTAAGGCCAACTCAAAGAAAATAAAGTTGGTCGTTTTGAGTCATTCGAAAGCAGGACTCTCTTGCCCTTTGATGCAAGGCGCAAGCTTCTGCCAAAGTTCGAGACATGGACATCACATTTCTCTTGCCCATTGAATCCTCAGCAGCACCCTTACTCTACCTCCCCACATTGATTCCCCCAACATAGGTTGTACTCGGAGCCCAATGCATTAATTGATCCCTTAAATGTGGCGCCCGAACTGCCCAACCACCATCGCCCACACTAATGACAGAACCTAGCAGTCGCCACATCCCATTTCCCATCTTCCCACCATGTGACACCTCAGACCTCTTTGGTACACTACCATACCCTTCCCTAGCTACCTAAACCTAAGGCCCCCTTGGCTAATCACAATCCTGTCACTTTAGAATGCCCTACCCTCAAATACCTGGAAATAAACTCAATCATATCTAGCCCCTAAACTTCTGAACCGGCCATCACTATTTTCCACCCCCATTCCCTTAACTTGTGACCCGGCCCATCACTATTTTCCACCCCCAATCCCTACCCACTCTCCCCCCTTCTGCCACATGTCTGCTAGAGACCTTGCCCACTGAAGACCAGCCAACTTTCTTAACTAATGAGGGTCAATTGTCTCCCCCTTGCAGTGCCTGATGAATTCATGCAGGACTGGCTATAAAACCTTGATGGAAGTGTGCACGTCCAATCAGAACCTTCAACATCCAGAGCATTCCATGTGAGGATGAAATGACATGGCTATTAATGCAGATGGCTAAAGGTCAAATCAAGCTCCTCCTACGACGCCACGTGCTCCACTGGTGCCCTGAACCAATTTTTTGTGATGAAGGGCATTACACTTCAAAGGGCAATCAGAGCCCCCTTTTTTTTAACCCTAAATACTTGTTTGACCCCGAAGCCTCAAAAGGACACCTCACCCTCCACCAACCCTTTTCTGAGACTAGACCCATCAGAAGAGTCGAGCATGCCGAGGAGACATAGACAAAGACAAAAACCTCTCCACTCAATTATCTTGGTTCTTTAATGGTTAGATCAGTTTTGGGCCCCTAGATTCTTTTGTCTGATCTAAAACTATTTTGGTGATCGGTCTTACATAGTGGAACAAAACCAAGGTATGTGCTAACTACATTTTCGTGGATAGAGATGTCGTTTACAAATGCATACATCTTGTGCTACAAAATTTAGATGTCCCACTCATTCGAGACAATAGAATTCGTTATGTTATGTTATGTTATGATTTTGTAATGGTTATGGACTAAGCACAATGAAGGAGCAATAATTATTGAAGCACCTAGGTACATGTCATGCACAGTCATCATAGTTAAATGTATCCTAAATATGGGGACAATAAGTTCCAATTTTAGCCCTAAAGTCAAGGAACATTCCAATTGCCCTTATATTTCTCTTAAGAATGATTTAAGATTACAGGACTTTCTTCAAATTATGAACAACATTTCTTACGGAATGAAGAGATCCAATATTAAACTTGTTTTCCCTTGCCAAGATTAAGACAAGGCAGAAGTGACATAAAATATGGAACATCAATTAATCCATCTAAGAGGTATCGGTCACTTGGTTACACAAAAATTCCCTTACATAACAAAAAAAAAGAACTTGATTACTAGATAGCGTACAAATCTTATTGTATAAGTTAATGCATTACAATTTTATTTTACAAGAACATAAAAATTCCTTGCAAAAGGTGGTATAGTGAAGTGTGTCATTAGAGGTGAGAATTCTTTCAACTAAACTCAAGTCAAACATAAAACAAGCCAAAACAAAGTTTATTTACAGTATCTAACAAAATTAAAGAAAGCTAAAATACATCTAGATTGCATGTTATTAATTTATGCATGAACTTTTGCTAGATCATGAGTAGCTTCAGAAAAGAGATCCGGCTCGATAGAGAACCTCGCACCTTCCTGTCATAAATGAAAGGCCCATAATTTACACGACCCATGTTCTCAACCTGTGATGAACAAGTTATCAATTAGTTATGAATGAATACTAGATATTTTCATCACAATTATGAACCAAACATACATGACGAACGAAATAACATTCTAAACAATTTGAATATTCAAATTACTCTTCTAAATGTTACTAATTTCATTCATTCAAAGTGCAGCAATACAGTTGTTGAGCGCATAACTAAGGTATAAAGGTTGCTTATAAATTTATGCTCTTTAGGGTGATCATGGACCATTGTATTCCATCATCATCCTAAGAGTTTGCCAAGTCCACAGAGAGATCAGCAAAGACATACAGCATAGCCAATTCAGTATCCCCACTTTGAGCTAAATGTTCAGATTTCATTAAAAATAATGATTCCCAAACATAGACTGAATTATGTGAATGTTGTATGCAAAAAGTAAACAAACACTCATTGACTAAGTTGGTAACGATAGGAGTTTCAGAGGTTTGAGTTATGATAACTGATGATTCTTTGCTACATACTTAATTTTATGAACTTAAGGGTAAAAATAAAACCTAGGTCGTTTATCAAATACAGTGACTATAGCTTAAACATAACAGGAAACAAACTAGAAGGTAAAATTGAGCAAACACATTCCATTGAAAGTCTCATACTTCAAAATGCTTCTCAAATCAACAGGTGATTGGCATAGCTTGTCCAGAACAAACCATCATATCTGCTTAAAACTTGATGCTAGTTTTGGGAGTTTCAATTGGCTTCTAATCAATGAGATGGACTGATGAGAGCATATAAATATAGACCCTCAAGAAAATGAACACTATCCGTGCACAATGGAGACCCAAGTTCAATATTTAGTCTTGAATACCTTCCACAACATTACTTGAATGCCAGATCAGCAACATAGACAAGCAACAGAGATTCCCACATCTTTGATATCTTCAACCCTTTGGCCATCTAGTTTGTAATTTTGTTCCATACGCAGTTGGTTTGGACCAAAGCTTTCCTATTTCCTTAAGAAGGTCCAGCACATACTTCATTTAGATATAAAGAATCCCCTCTTAGACCTGGCCACTTTTCTACCAAGAAAGCACTTCAATGGATCTAGATCTTTAATTTCGAATTTCCTTGCCAAACGACTCCTAAGTTGGTGGTTTCCCTAAGAACAATTACCTATTACAATGGTATCATCCACATATATAGTCAAGGTAGTGGTACTGGCTACAAAAAGGCACAGATTGCAGGAGTCCTTGCATACCAAATTCTTTTGAACAACATTACTAAATCTCTAAAACCAAGCTCGGGGAGACTGATTTTGTCCATAAATAACCTTTCTCACTTTACAAACTTTTCCTTTACATCCAGGAGCCCTACATCTAGCTGAAGGTACCATGCATACTCTTCCTGTAGTTTCCATGAAGGTGTGCATTCTTGACATCCAGTTGGTGCAGTAGCCTCTCCAAGTCTACCGCCAGACCCAAAAGGACACAAATGGAGTTCACCCTAGCCAAAGGAGAAAATTTCTCCTAATAGCCTATTCCATAGGTCTGAGTGAACTCCTTGTTAATTAATCGTGCCTTGTATATGTTCCTGTACCAATAAGCTTTGTGCTTTGCAGTATAAAGCCATTTGTAACCAACCAACCTCTTTCTTTAGGAGGGCCTCCAAAGTACCATTCTTGATTAGTGTTCTCATCTCCTCGGACATAGCCTCTTTCCACATGGGATGAGCTAAAGTTTCAGAAATAATGGTGAAATAGAAACATAAGACAAATAACATACAAAAGCATGATGGGAAGGAGTCCAGAACTCATAAGAAACAAAGTTGCTAATTGAGTGTATAGTATAGTTTGGTTTACCTTTTCCTACAGCAATGGGCAGATTAGGATTATCACATTGAAATCTGATGCGATTACTTGGATCAGAGGTATGCAATTGGCTTGAAGACCTGTCAGCTGTGGTGTTATCAACGTCTTTCTATTTCAATAGATCATACACTTTTAATTCTTTTCTTTACCATCATGAGATTGCTCCCAACTATGCTCCCGAGTTCTAGAATCAAGAAAAAAGGAACAAAAGACTTCTCTTCCACACTACGCCGCCCTTGAAGAGTGGTGAAAAAGGAGTGGACTAAAAGGTCACAACCGTCAAAAAAAAAATTTCCCTGACAAGGACTGTAATACTTTTGAGAAGACGGATAACCAAGGAAACACTTTTTCCCGATTTGGGATCTAACTTTGTATGGTATGGAACAAAAACACGAGCAAAGCAAATACAACCAAAGACTTTAGGGGGAACACAAAACAGTGTCAATCAAGTCGGTGAAGTTTACAAGGAGATTTGTAATTTAAACACAAACTTAAGAGAGACGCCAACCTCTAAGAGAGACGCCAACCTCTAAGAGGCGCCCATTCTCTCTCTCAGCAACCACAATTTGTTTTGGTGCGTAAGAACAAAATTTTTTATGTTAGAAACTATGTTCTTACAAATAGGACAGCAACTCTGTATTACAATACCCGCCTTGATCAGATCTCAGTACCTTAGTTTTAATATCAAACTGAGTGTGGATGATCTCATGAAAGACCTTGAAGTTATTAGGAAACCGTCCACAAAAGAAATAAAATACCTGACAACCAGAAATAGATGTTAATGAAAAGGGACAACGCCACTTTGAGAGAGCCAAAAATAAAATATCAACTCATTCTTCCTGAAGCATAGAGTGAGTTTTTCAATGGAGGCCCCTTGGTGTACCTTAGCTTGCATATTCTGCACCAATTGAGGACCCATGAGGTACCTTAGTTTGTGTAGTCCTCACGCATTAACCCAAGGAGTCTCCAAGAACCACTTCTCCATGTTCTTTGGCTGCAGTTTGGAGGAAAATCATCAACGTAATCACCTCTCTTGGTACCATTTCTTCCATTCATTCATGGACCCTTGATGCCTAGTTTGATCAACTTGGTACCTAGCTCAATTTGCATCACTTTGGCATAATTTCCTTGTGATTTTCACTTGATTTTCTTGCCGAATGTTTCTGAAATTCTTCCAAGTCACATCAGCAAGCTATTTGTGTTTCTAGTGAGTTTATGGTGATTTGATAAAGTCCTCGCTGTACCAAAATTTTCTATTCCACATGTGATCATATCACATATTCGATGCTCTTTGTTTCCCACACACTCTCTCCCTCTCATGTATTTATGAATCAGATCCTTCATTGAAATTACTTGACTATTTCGAGCATCCTTAGTATAGAAAAGCTTCTGGATTATTGCTTCTATGTTGAGATCAATTTGGACCTAAGATCTTGTGCTATCAGTAGTAAACATTTTATGGGGTGTAACTAAGTCCTTGACCGTAAACCTGGCAACCCAAGATTATCATTTTGGCTTCCCCTGATCTAAGTCTTCTATGCACACATTTGATTCAGTCTTGTAATTTGGAGATTGAGTTAATTTGTATTTGTGGATTTAAGTGTTTGATTGTTTTCATGTTGTAGACACCCCCTTGGAATTTTGGCTTAGGGAATTCCAAGAAACCAGAAGCTCTAAACCCTTAGAGACCATACTAGTACAGCAAATCTTAGTCTATCATATCCAGTTGGCTATAATCCTTACAAAATCCTCATTTCAGACCAAAACTACCAATTTACCAAAAATAACAAATCTGGTCAAAATATGTCTAGATTGAGATTGAAAAATTGCCAAACTCGAATGCCAAAATGCATCAGCACCGGACCAGACCACCACCACTGGACTCAACTGGATTTCCCATTTGAGCCAGTGGAGGGTCTGGACTACCAAAGGGGCATGTCGCTACCCTCTTTCAGTTTTTGAAATCCTCTAAAAATTCCAGAAGATTCTAGAGATCTTAAGGCATTGTTTTGACCATTTTGGATCTTTGACCGGGTTTGACCATGTGAGTTGTAATCCTAAACTAAATAGAAGTCCTAATCTCAATTAAATTGATACCTCATTGGAGCCTATATAAACCTTCTTCTAGCTTTCCATAATCCATGGAAAATTTATAAAAATAACCTAAAATCCATAGAAAATACTAAAAAAATAAATGATGGAAATCAGAACACACGTGGCCATGAGTATCTTCTATGAGAGCAAGAGATTCCTCCTAATTATTGCTTATATTTGGAGGATGAAAACCCTAGGAGGGCTTCCAAGAAGAACAAGAAGAGAAGGAAATAGTTTTAGTGTTGTTTTAGTTTTTTAAGGCTATTACAGATGTTTTCAACTTATTTATTTATTTCATTGTTGGACCAATTAGGGACTTTTTAGATATTAATTAATTAAAGATAGGGAGTTTATTTTGAAGTTATATTTAAGTTAGGATCTTTTGGTCAAAAGTTAAATTGTATGGACAAATATTGTCCAAAACAATAATTTTTCAATATAATTAAGGGCATGGATGTGCTGGAGATTCATTCATGTATTCCTCTTTAAGAAAAGAAAGAAAGACTTTGTCTTGTAAAAGAAGCCTAAGGTTTTGAGCACTAGATGGAAGAAAGCCTTAGGGTTTCCCTAAAATTGTGTGCTTCTTGCTAATTTTCTCTGAATCTTCAAGTTCTTCCAACATCAATAACTGAAACCCCTATAACTAAAAATCCTAAAAAAAAAAAAAAGAATTTAGAGAAAATCTCTTAAGAGAGAAACCCTAGTTTTCCCCTTACGTTAAAGTAACCCTAGGAACTTGAGAAACCCTAGAATTCATCCCTAATTTTAGATCGTTCAAAACCCTAGAAAAAAACATCCCATGAAAATCCTAATGCTTGCAATTCCTTTCAATTTTCTCCAATTCATCAAAAATCTCTAAGTTCAATGTCCTAGGAAGAAGCCCCAGACAACAAAAGTTTCTAGGAAAAATACTCCCTAAGCATTCTCAGCAATTCTTGCTCAGAATTGTATGCTAAGCATTGGAAACTATTCATGCTTGAAATAGAACTTGTATACTATGCATAGAAAATGAAGAAAATTCGCTATATGACATTTACATGATGTCCCTTGTCCACTTCTTTTAGGAATGTGCAAGCATTGTTTATATCTCCAGCAACAAATACTTACAACTTAATCTTAGACTAAGAATTAAAAAAAAAAAAAGAGAGAGAGAGAATTAGGAACTTTTTGGAGAAAGGCATGGTTAGCACTAATAATTGTTGCACGACTTGCTCCAAGTCCATATCTCAAATGGCAATGTGTAACTGAAATAACACATGCTCATCAGAGACGAGGATGAAACTAACATGCATAGAATCAGACACGGCTATAACATTTCTGAAGAAACCAAGTGTGCATCTTATAAACCTTTCTACATGATATTTGGATACCATGACATATTCTGACCAATTGAAGCATCGTTGTTCCCAAATCAGATACTAGGATAGTCATCCCATGATCGATGTAAAAGAAATAATTATCATCATACCAGAATCCAATAAATGATAGGAGATTGTGAAGAAAAACTATGCAGACACATCACCCCTAATAGTGAATAAGTAATTATAAGAAAATAAAGGAAGAAGACGAGTACCAAAATAAGTATACTGATGTTATCAGGACAAATGAGGCTTGGAAGATGAAGATCCACACTTGACCATCTCTCAATTTTGCCGACATATATTGGAGAATGTAAGATTTTCGTTGACTTGCATGCAACAAACACTTGAGCTCTATCCTTGACCTGCAAACGGCAAATACTTGAAACCCCAATCCACCGCAAAACATTGAGTAGTTATAAAGACTTGCCTGTTTTATAGAAAGGACTCTTCCAAATTCCTTAGATGGATATTCTGATACATAGAGCATAAATCCATAAAACTGAAAAAACAAGAAAACAAGGAAGAAGCATCAGAACAGACCTCAAACTACTAATAAGTACTAAAGAAATAAACAGTTGTATCAATGCTTAAGACATTCTCAATCCATTTGATAACTAGGTGCAATAACCATCCATGAAACCATGATGATACCATGAAAACAATACCTGCCCTAATTTTTCCATGGGCATTGGCTGATGTGTCTTGACCACTTTTGTTGGTTCAGTAATAAAATCAAGTAACTCAAACAAAGAACCAATTTTCTTCACTTTAACTTGCCCATATGCTCTGCTTCCTTTATTTAATGGTATGGGAGGCAGTTGTCCAGTGCTATGTTTTTGAATAACAGCCCGTAGTGCTGCATGCACAGGCAAAATATATACATATAGAATTTCTTTGGATAAATCTGATGGTAAGACACCATTCTTCGATGAAAACATTCAAGTTAGACAAGGAAAACGTAACATTTTGCGTTTATTGAAGGTTGACTTGTCTGAGGTATCATACATAAAAAGAGGAAAAGCCATTAGCCACATTAACAAAAAGCACTAAATACAAAACATTTTTTGATGCAGCTTAAGATCAGCACTTACTACTCTACAAGACCCTGAAACACATTTGAAGAACACTTTTAAGTTCAAACAAGGTTGTTCAGAGGTAATAATCAACAAAAATAAATAAAAAACATGTGTAAATTAACATGTGATTCAGAAATTTGCTTGAATGCCTTGGAGATGGGATTTCAAATCGACAATACATTGAAATCTATCCTTTACCAAAATCTGATGAATAAAATTGGTTCAGATCAAATTTAAATTTGCCTACTGCCCAGAGAGGAAAGGGGGTTGTAGATTGACTTTAAAATAATTCCAAAGGGTCTCCACAGCTATTTCTAGGGTTTTTGAAGTTTATGGTTTGTAAAAGTTCAGGTTTTAATCAAAGAACCAAGTACACATTATTTCAATGCCACAAACCCCAATACTATATTAGCCATCTTAGTGGTCTGATCCACAACCATAAGCTCAAAGAAGCATACAGAAAAGGAAAATTCTTCAAAACCCCAAGACAACTTGAAACGAAATATCTCATGAAAATCATGGCTTGCATACTCCACCTCCCTACAGTTGCTCTCTATTCCTGACAAAAATCACCACAAATTTTATAAAGTACACTAGTTAGACAAACAGCAGCTCCAGAAAAGATTTGGGCTTTGAATGTCCCAAGTTTCAAACCTTGGAATCCGAAAACGTGGAGGGAGTAGATCTAACTAAGTGCCAACCTTGGGAACAGGAACATAATGACCTTGGGAGAATAAAACTTCAATAGCGAGAAAAACCACCAAAAATTTTCACAATGCCAAATTTTTATGTTAGAAAAATAAAGCAACTGGATATATCATCCCTCAGATATGAATATAGCAGTAACAACCACAACACACCTTTGAATTTCGGGTTCTCCACGTCTCCAAATTCTTTTATCGGAGCATCCTGAGAAATTCAAGTATTTTCTCCAAGATCAAAATCAGTACTTTCAAATCGAAGAAACTGAGGTGTAAAGGTCACCAAGGTGAATATCTCACATAATCATATGACGTGAGATCAGGCTTGTAGTCAAATGCACTTTGACCAGTATTCGCACCATTGAAAAAACCAAAGTTCGTTCCACCATGTGCCATCTGAAAATGCAGAGAAATATAAAACAGAAAAAAGATAATAGTACTTCTTATGTAGCAATACACAGGATACAGACATAAAGCACCACAGATGCGTTTTGAGATAAAATGGTGTCTAGTGCAACAGCAGTCGAACTAGCATCCGTCTTTGCAATTCTCTCATCCCAATGTGTAAGCCACCCAGTGTAGAACTCCCTGAAGACAAACATTTGTTGGTTGAATAGTAATTAATATCAATTTTAAATTTGCATCAAAAAGCTCTTCTTTTTTGCTAGGGAAGAGAAGCAATTGGGCACTTTGGGCCATTTGGGAAAACCGTCAGGTTTTTTCCCTAAAATAGAAACATAAAAACTTTCAAAAGATTACATAAATAAATTAGGCTTTCTGTGAGATTTTTCTACAATTTTGAAATATCCTTGATACTTTCACAATAATGGCAATCTGTTGCCCATATTTTCATATTTTTGAGATATTTATTTAGAGGATGCCTCCGATATGTTGCTGACATTTTAAAATTATTGGTTGTTTTCAGTTTAAAGCCCAAGGCTGAATGTTCCACCACTTTGTCCTACTAAAGCGACTCTAGCAACATTGTTTAAGGTATCCATGCATTAAAAGAGTATAAACTTACGTTGAAAGAGCAGGAGATCTCCCTGGAGCATTATATTTCTTCTGCAGTTCAAATATAGGGATTGGGTTTTCACCAGTTGAAAAGTCAACAGCTGTAAAATTCGAAGAATGACTTACACATGATGAAAGAAAAAGAAGAACGACTCACAAATGTATAGATTCAGTTTAGTTTTATCAGTATGTGTCGTGTCTATTTAGATGAATTTACAAATGCAACCATTCACTTTCGAATGCAAATCCATATTTTCACTCCTTTCCAACAAATTGGTTTTGAGGCCAAACGTGGGTTCAATTTTGTGCACGCCACATGTTAAAACAGCTCCATGCTAGGATAATGCCATCATAAAAGAAAAAGGTTGCAATAAAAATCCCATCCTATGGTGCATTACCACATCATACACTTTTTTCTAGGTTACGAATGGGTCGGTTGGATCCCTAAGTACGCAAACTCAGGTTTTTCATACTCAAGTTATTGGACAAAAAAGGTTTTGAGCAAAGTTTTCTCCCCAAAATCAGATTACCACTAAGAAAAGTACCTCAAAACCTGACTATCTCAAAGCAAAGAACCAAAAAAAAAACGCATTATGAATAACATGACTATGCAGAAGCAAACGTTGTTTCACTTGGGGCACTAGCCACTAGTTAAAAGATGCCAATCAGGATAGGAATTGCCCGATATGGATCGAAAAATGGTATAAGCGTGCAAATTCCCAAAAAATATCAAGAAAGGGCCGTTTCCAAAGAAAGGACTGAACCGTTTGGCTCAATCAATGAACCGGGGGGTTCCCACTTTTTTATTGTTTTAATTTTTCACGTAAAAAATTTTGAATTTTGAATTTTTCTTCTAAATAGAGGGGTGGTGGAGTGGTCCAACCTGCTTTTTTAATTTTCATGTTTTCTATAACTACTTTTTTCAATATTTATTCTTTATATTTATAACATAAAAACATCCTTTAGAGAGGGCCCACTACCATCCCACCCAATGGAGGCAGCCGAAGACCCCATTCCTTCATTCCCATATCACCTTCTCATACAAGGATCCCACCTTTTGTGTTTCCATTCCCCAATGTGGGACTTTCTTTGCTGTTGAAAACAACTTAATGCCATGGACAAAGCCCCATATGGAGCTTATATTTCAGCTTAAGCATGTCTAATAACATTTGATCACTCTCTCTCTCACATCTAAGTTATGAACATTTAATCTTTTTAAACATATCTATTAACATCTCTCTCTCTCTCTCTCTCTCTCTCTCTTCTCTTATATACAAGAACATAATCATACAAGTTTCTTTTTTAGTGATTGTACAAACTACAAATACGCAAGACCAAATAATGCTAGCCGATGTTCAGAGAAGAAAAATCAAACTATAGATACACACGTTCACATGACCATGTATTCGCATATTTTAAAAATGCAAACAAAAACACACTTATCAAACACCCACTACTTATCTCTTTTTAATTTAAAAATAAATATTCCAAAGAAATTAAATGAAACAACCTCCCTCTCGCATAAATTGTTTTTAAATAGTAAAAAACCCATAATGGAAAAATAGAAATTGAGGAAGGTTTCTTTACTTGAAAACAAAAAAATTTCAAAAAAAAAAAAAGAAAATTGTATGAAACCTTATGAACAGTCTATTAAGGATATTTAATAAAATAATTCTGTAATTGAAAAAAAATTGACCCCTTATTTTACAGAAGCCTAACTATTTCAATTATGAAAATTTATAATTAACAATACAAAATATTAAGGAAGTGAGTCATTCTTTGATTTACTTGAGAATAGAAATAAAATGGAAAAATTGGTATTTGTGTTCTTCCTCGATGCAAGGAGACCTTCTCCACAGACCGCCACTATTCCTTGGCGAGAGGCGCAAAGCCTTTCAATTTCCATATCATATTTTTCGAAAAGGAAGTTATCTTCAATGGGAATTTTCGATTTTGAAAATCCTAAAATATTCAATAGTCAACAGACATTCAAACAATAAACAATATCTTAATATTCATGGATTTTCGCAAGATAATGAAAATTCATAATGCGCAACCCCAATTTTTCTTGAAAACCCCCAAAAACATCATTTATAATTATTTTTAGTACTTTCTTAAAAACATTAAGGCTAGATCCGGTCAATCCAGCAAATTCACCGATCTCGAACCACCAATCCACCAATGAGGAGCAGCTTTTGAGATGGATGATCCGTCACCGATTCATTTTTTAAATATTGTGTATTATTAATTAGTATATCATAATAATAAAATCGTATGCATAATAGTAATATATTATAATAGTAATGATAATGATGACAATGATGATGATGATAATGATGATGACGACGACAGCGATAACATTATTATAAAATTAAAAAGGATGCAATTTCTATAAGGTCTAGGCCTTATAAAAAAGGTGAAGCCTCACCTCAAAATCTTGTCTAGAAAACACTTCGGGCATAGGAAATTCCTAAGATGGTTCTAATTTCCATTTCCACCCCCGATAAGGAAATTTCTAGCTCAAAAATTGGAACAACTCTTGTGGAACAATGAACACTTGAAAATGGATGGTCTAGACAATATATTACAACATACTATTTTTATGGTTTGAAATCCTAATTTTTTCCACAACTACGATGATCATAGTCGAGATGATCGATTTGAAGGTCTCCCGATGCTAGAACTATAATTTTTGGTGAGTTTTAAGGTGAGGCTTTACTTTTTTCCCATAAATCCTAAGAGTTATTTTAGCCTTTTACTTGTTAAAATAATTTGTATAATAATATTAATATTAACACTCATAACAGAACATTCTAATATTATATAATAACAATATAATATAATAATAATAGAGTCGTTGTTGTCCAATTATTATAATTATTATTTTCAGAATAATATATGATAAAAAATTCAATAAGTAATACTAACTAATAAATCTGAAAGCCCAAGATATACAAAAAGACAACCCCGACATGGGATTTGCATAAGCTCTCAAAAAACATGGGAATTGCATCAACTAGTTTCCATTCGAAAGCCATCCAAATAGTCTTGTCCCAGTAACCAGGTCTTAGCAGAATCAAGGATTAGCATACTTAGGTTATGATTCAAAACCTAGGTTTGTTTACTCAGGGAGTCAAACGACCCATAAACATACAAAATTTGGGGCCCTCAACACAGCAGCATAAACTAGCAATGCAACGTAATTGCTACATTAATAGGGTGGAACATAAAGGTGTTGAACGACTAGGTGCAATATCTTATCAAACGTAGAGTAGCTTAAAGCCCAATGTTTAGGGTTATTTTGCTCACTATGGGAGAGACACAATACAAATTTGCAATCCATGGCTACAACTTGCATATAGCGTAACTTTGCATGTTGGCAATGACTATATAAGGTAACTAAAAAAATAGTTCGATATGTAAATTTGGGTGTTTTAACCACACGTCAAACTCCCTTTCACTATGAGAACCTATTAAGGCTTTAAATGCTCCGATGAACTTGAGACCCAAGTTGATCCTTCTTTGCAATGGCTTCTGGGACACATCGTAAATACTTGGGGCTTTAAATATTTACGTTAGAAGTAGGTCATCAAAGAACATAGAATCACCATCTAACTTCCAGTCGTCCAAGAGGTACAAGTACCACCCAAGAAACAGGATAGCTATTCAACAACACTCTATCAACATGAAAAGTGCAGTTGGCCTATGCATATAACATCGGAGTTATTACACATAGGAGACAGCAGAAATCCCTAGCTAGCAGACAAATGTGCTGAATCTAGAACTTAATTTCACACCAATGACATTATGTCATCAAGTCTTGTGTATCAATCTAAACTATATTAAGTGAGAAACAACACCATTATTTTGGTGCTAATTGTATTGAGATTAAAATTTGTGCAAGTTAAATTTGAAAAGATAGTTGTTGATGAAAAGGTGATATATTGTTTAGGTGCATCTCTCTTCTATTTTGTTGGGAGAGGAACAGTTCCAATCTTCTCACGCCTTTTAAGTGAATATAGAATGTATATCCAGTAAGTAATTTGGGCAATATTGAATAGAAAAGATAGTTAATTTAAGGTGTCTCTAATATTTCACTGGAGGAAGAGAACTAACACCTTATTAATCGCCTAGCACTTACATGGAGAGGAAATACATCAAAATTTCTAGTATAATAGCATGTTTGCACCTGTCATTAAAATGTTACCAATATCTTCAAGACAAAACAAATTGTGAGGTAGAGAGAATTCATTTTTGTGAGATTTAAAGAGAGATTACCTAATCGTTAACATTGTCATACGATCATAATTCTTTACACAAATGCAATTAAAAAAGCAAGCACATGTAGTTAAACATTTTAAAATTACCCAGGCTTCATAAATACATATTTGATTTGTTTCTAAATGGTCAAGTAAAATTGATTACCTAATAGTGTCTGCAGAAAGTGCAACTCCTATGTTCATGTGCATTTATTATTGCAACATATTCCCTATTATTCAATGGGGTCCTATGTAAAAAGTAGAGGTCCATTGGAGCATAAGGGTTCCTCTTCACTCATAACCAGCTCATCCAAAGGACCATATGTAATTTGCACAAAACCATCCTGATCACCAGTGTAGCTATGATATTCTAATAATAAAGATTGTCTTTATCCTTTATCTTTTCATAAACAGGTCAATTTTTTTCCAAGATATTGCATTAGATAAAAATGCCAAGTACAGTTTCTAAGCAAAGACAATTTTAAATTGTAGAACAACCAAGATATAAGCTTTTTTAGTTTAAGTTGAAAATTTCATAGAGAAGGACATTTGAAGGCTACATTTCTAATTGCCTGGTCTAGTTACCATCCTCTAAAAAATTATTTAGTTTGCAATTGAATATTCTTCTTAAATATTTATTTGTTCAAGCAAAAGATTTTCAGCATGATGGTTTTGAACCATGTGAGGATCCTCTAACCGCGCAATGCTGAAAGGACCACCATTTAGGCTATCACAACACCATTAAGCATATCACAACAGCGTGTGAAAATTTCATCTCTAATTACCATCCTCTAAAAATTAGTTAGTTTACAATTGAATATTTTTCTTAAATATTTATTTGT